GACATGGAAACTTATGTGCGAGGATGCGAGGCATGTCAGAGGACGAAGACTGATATGCAGCGGAAAGCAGCTCCACTACATCCCAATGCTGTACCATCCCGACCCTGGGAACACATCTCAGTCGACATGATCACTGGGTTTCCAGAATCCAAGGGCTACGACGCAGTACTAGTCGTCGTAGACCGATTCTCGAAATACATCGTGCTAATCCCATGCATGAAGGAACTCTCGTCAAGTGGATGGGCCAAAATCTTATGTGATGAGATCATTTGTCGATTCGGGGTGACCCCCTCCAAAGTCATCTCTGACCGGGGGCCCCAATTCGTATCAAAATTCATCACCGAACTATACACGATGATGAATATTCAAGGAAATCCGTCAACGGCCTATCACCCTCAGATGGATGGACAAATGAAGCGGGTTAACCAAGAACTCAAAAAATACCTTCGAGTCTTCGTTAACCACAAACAGGACGACTAGAGCGAATGGCTGCAGTGGGCAGCATTCACTCACAACAACTGCCAACACTCTGCAACGGGCTTTTCCCCCATCAAAATCATCTTCAGACAAGATGGAGAGATTCGTCCAACCGCAGTGAGGCAGTCAGAAACACCATCAGTAACTGACTTCGTCGAAAGCCTCCAGAGAGTGCGCAAACAAGCGGAAGACTCTTTGAATAAAGCCGTTGAAGTTATGAGAAAGGCTTACTACAAACACACTCGCCCTGCGCAGGAGTACCAACCAGGAGATAAAGTCTGGTTGGACTCAACCAACCTTCACCTCCCCCGACCGGTGAGAAAGCTAGGCGACAAACGTGTCGGCCCCTTTGAAATAGTTTCCAAAAAGGGGCCTTCCGCATACAAACTAAAGCTGCCGCCAGGGTGGAAGATCCACAACAAGTTCAATGAACAGTACCTAACTCCGTACATCCCCCTGGAGTTTTCCAACCAGGAAAAACCTCCACCACCCGAGCCAGAACTCGTGGAAGGCGAAGAAGAATACGAAGTAGAAAAACTACTTCAAGACCGCGACCATATCATCGGCCGAGGACACAGCCAGAGGACCATAACAGAATACTTGGTCAAATGGAAGGGATACCCAGTGGAGGAGGCTACTTGGGTCAAGAGGAGCAATCTTGCCAATGCCGAAGAACTCGTCAAGGAATATGAGAACAAGGAAAACTGCATACAGGATCACGATTTGCGACACTTGGAAAGTGAAGGAGGACACATAACCATATCATCTCCTGGCTCTTCAGCAACCGAGAGCTCAACACTCTTTCCAGTCTCAAATAGGAATCATACCGATCCATTATCCTTCGATGAGCAGAGCTTTTATTCATTGGACACGGATGAAGAGGTCTTCAAAGACGAGTGTTCCATGTCTCCTCTAACGACTCAGACCGACCCTAGCTTCCTCCTAGAAGAACGGGGCATATCTGCTTGGGAACAAAACAAGGACTACGAATCAGATATGGAATCTACTAACTCCCTCGACCCGGGGAGTGAGTACATCTAAAGGACTGTCGGGACGACAGTCTTAGTTGGGGGGTATTATTACGACTTTACCCCTATTTTTCTTATCTTATCTTATCCTTATCTCTCAGAACCCTGGACCTGCCTATCTTATCTCCCAGACCCATGATATTCCACCGGCACACTCCTTACCCGTTTACCCGGTTGCCGTCACCCCAGTTCACAGCTGCCACCCCCAGGTGACCAATGACCCGCATATGCCATCATGCTTCTCTTGATGGCATCATGCTTCTTAGTAGTTGGACAAGAGTCGACCACCAGTTGAGGGCGGTCTACAGGATGCAGCCTATTCAGATGGAGTCCCACGCAGATGCAGGTGATATGCGCTCTTTACTCTCATTTGTTGGGAGTACACTTCTTTTAGTGTCCTCCCTCCTCATTCGTTGAAAGATGCACTTCTCATTGCACATGCCCTTGTAGATACTATTCTTAGTACGAGTCTAACATGTATTTAAGCTAGCCTATGCTGTGGCGTTAAACCTCAGCTTCGGCTAAGGTTATATACTCCTAACTCTTACAAGCTTCTCGCTTTCGCTATAAGTGATGCCTAACTTCTCACAATCTACCAATGCCTCTCCAACACTGAATCACCGAACACGAGTGACAGGATAGAGACCAGTCTTGGTTCAGATTAGAGTTAGTGCTTAACAAAGAGCTCGATCAGGCAGATCCCAATGACAACCCCAATTGCTAGTGCACCATCTGTCAGCACCTACAAGACCTTGCTTGGGCCTGATTTGACGAGGTTGGACCTCTCCCAGAACTCAAACCTTTCCTCCTACCTGACAACAGCAGCGAACCCATTGATGGGTTCATCCCACATCAACAACTCTAGTCTTGGGTCTTCGAATGATGCAACTTTCCCACTATCTGGAAAGAGTACTGCCTATATTTTGCATATGTATGGAATTGAAACCAGATCTGGATTGATGGAAATGCACACTATCTTCAATACGAGAGCATCTACATTCCCATCTATCATACCAACAGATTGAACCTCTGGATCAGGGCCAGAATCAAGATTGATCAACAGGTATGGAAAGGTGAGTATGACAATGACCCTCCCCTATAACAAGGGAGGAGATGAGTTTGTCCAGGGATCTAGCACTAGGACCCAGCAGTGGAGAACTCTTTAATATGACATGGAAACAGATACTGGACTGGATAGAAAGGTGCCTTCCATATGAGATGATCTGGACCATGTCCCTACAAGGAAGAGCTTACTGGGTAGCATCCTTAAGCTCAGAACTCAAGGAGAGGATTTTCTCTCTCAAGACACAATATGCCACTGCCCAATTTTAGAATGATATCTACCCTGACTGACAGGTATCCATTGGAAAATGCTACAGGTCCCCCACTATCAGTCCCAGTGATGCAGGCACTGACACCTCCCTAGCTGGAGTCAGTATCCTCTGACCAGTAGAAGATACTACTTAGCAACCTGTCAAACATGTAGGCTTGGGCCTATTTGCAGGGGGAGGAAATGGAGGTTCTAATCCTACACCACAAGAAGGCAGTGGCAGAGGATCAGGAGAGGATGATGGAGGAGGCCCCAGTGGAGGCAGTGGTGGTGGACCACCTGTGCCTTCCCCTTCACCAGCTGTGCTACTGTTGCCCTGCAGCAACCCAAACCCACAGTCTCTACTGCAATCCACGAAACCCCCTCTTCCTCCAGACCCTCTGAGAGGATGGATCATTCCAGATGGATAGCTGAACCTCTGGAAGAACATGGCCTCAAAGCTGATGTGGGTCCCCATGGTCTTCAAGGGAAAGGCTAGTGATCTTAATTGCTTCTTCACTCAGTGTGAATACTACTTTAAGTCGCACTCCCAGGAGGAGATGGAGAAAGTCATCAAGGCCACTATTCACCCAAATGTCAAGCAAATCATCATGGTCAGGGACAACATGTGCCCTGCCAATTACTGGAAATGGAAGGATCATATCAGCCAAATGGACGAGAATTACAGGGTGCATATTGCACAAGAAAGAGGATGCCCCAGCAGGACTGAAGGGTCTAGGTCAATGGTCAGTGAAGCCAGTGGATCAGGAGGCACCTCCAGTGACAAGAGAGATGCCACTGGTATCACATATGGGGGCCAAGGTGAGCCAATAGACATCGACCATCTCAAATGCAAGCAGCGATGCTTCTGCTGTAGCCATAAGGAGCATACCAAGCAGGACAAAAAGCATCTGCCAGAAAGTCAGTGGCTCATCAAGAGGAAGAAGATACCAGTGCAACACCTATGAGCTATGTTGGCTGAGACAGAACAGGAGGACCTTGCAAACTTGACAAGGATTGAGAAGATAAAAGAAACAATGTCGAGGCATTAGATGATTCAACCCTAGTGACTAGGACTCAAGTTTCTTTTGGTATGTGCTCAATTACAAATAATCACACTTATGTCGAGTTTAAAGGGGTTTATACAAGGGTAATCATCAAGTGAGTCCTCTGCACAGAGTTGACGTCTCCCACAGCTCACATATCCCCACCTTGCAGGCCGTAAGTGGGATATACATTCTCTCCACCTTGCTCTCACAAGATCACAAGCAAGAGAATAACTTCGTGAGTCTTGCTTTCTGCACCATGCATCATTGCTCCTTATCTTCCACCTATCACAGGTCGCAAGTGAAGTCATACTCTCTTCACCCTTTGGGTCGCAAGAAGATTGAGCATGAGTAAGTCGAGCTTGTACTAGTCCTTGACTGTTGTATCCACTCACCTTCACCTCCTAGGTCACAAGCAAGGCAGAACACAATCTCGATCCTGCAGATGGGCCATTACCTGGCAGACTGTGAGCAGAAGAGGGGACATCTTCTCTCTGCCACGTATCCTCACAGTCTTGCCAGGTATGACCCTCAGTATCCTCTCTTTACCTCGTATACTTACAGTCTTGCTAGATGTAGTAGTGCTCACTACCCACCCTGTTACATTCACACTTCTGTTAATTTGTGTACTCAGTACCTACTGGTAGCTACTGGTTGTATTCCTCCCTAGCAATCATACACCATGCAATCACATCTGGGCTCCCCAACATGCAGGGAGTCTAGACTTGGCTAAACAATGGGTGCCTCATACTAAGCTCGAGATGATTAGATATGCTTGTAGATACTTCTGCAGACAATATATCTGTTTTATCATGTTCAAACCAGACTGAGCTGGAATCACAAAAACCAGAGAAAGACTATCAAGGTGCATACTCTTTTATTTTTTTATTTTTTATTTGGTTGAGGCTATTGCAGAGGTGGTCCAGTGACACAGTCGCTTCCAACATGCAGCCTAGTTGTTGCCCGGAGGTTTAAACTGGGCAATTGTAATTAGAATTCACACTTAGGAATAGAGGTTGTTTTACCGTGAGGAAATGCTTTATGCACAAGTAGTGTGGGACTCAGGACAAATCATGTGACAGGGCTAATTCCTCGTACCCCTTCATGTTGTCCCCATACTTACCTTCTGCTACCCTGTCATCATGATTCCATACCCACTAAAACCCTGCATACTTCTATCCAATCTGGTGGAAGATTCTTTTCATTGTTGATGGAGCCCTTCCATGTTTTCAGAATGATCTCTTTTGGGAGAGCTTTCCTTCCAAATCTCTTATAGGTCATCAAGCCATCCAATTCAAGCCATTTGTTGATTTTCTTTAGCCATCTATGTCAGATATGATCAGGTGAGAATGGGATATTCTCTTTACTGATTACTCTCTCACATCAGGCATTCCAGATGACTTGAGCCGAGGTGGTCACCACTACCTTATAGAAGTGCTCCTTCCCGCTATCTCGCATACCATTTTGTTTCAAGAAGATTGGTACTGCAGAGGCAAGAATGGTCACCATTGAGGGAGGTTGCCAGGGGATTGTTACGGACTTTCCTTACTTTTCTTTATTTTCCCTACTCAGTACCTTACTGACTCATACACGCTTAGTACTGCGACACACGGACGTCACACTAGAACTTCTATTCGGACTAAACTGCCAGCTCATCATACCATTATGGACTTATGAATTACTATTATTAGGACTACTGCCTTGTATTTAAACAAGCCAAGCTGTGGCCTTAAAGCCCCAGCTTTGGCTAAGGTCTATATACCTAGTTATCGACTCCATCTCTCTCGCCTAGGCTGTCTAAGTCATCTGCTAAAGGACTACTTGTGCCTGCTCGTTGTACACTTGACCAAAGTGCGAGTCACATCATGAGTTTGATCTTGTTTGTCATACTAGTGGGTTACATTTAGCCAAAGCTTCTCTCAAGGACCTTCATTGTCAACCACGACAGTGAACGTCACCTATGAGCAGTACCACATCTAACACGTTTAACGTCTTCGCCGGTTTCCTAACCGCCATCATCGTATTGGTATTCTGTTTCCTATATGGATACCTCTGGTACAAATGATGACACCATGCCAGAGTCCCGCAGACCCCCGCTCCCAGGAGAGTATACTACGGGCTTGACGGACAACCTAGACGCACCCCATTCCACTACAGAAACGCCAGCACCTTCAGATTCCGCCACAGCACTTCAGCGTCAAGGGACGAGAACGTCCACGCCGACCTCCCAGTCCAGCGAGATGAAGAAGACGTGGAAGGAGAGGTTTGGGTTGCTGGAGTCGAAGAGCGCGAAGATGCCAGCAGAAGGGAGCAGCGAGTCGTCACAGACAGGCCTCTTTGGGCATCTGCGGACCCATCGGACGAAGAATACGGGATCCAAGAAACCAGGGTTGACCCCACCACAGGAGGAGTTATCGTCGGCCTAGGAACTCGTCCCCATGCAGTCCGATACTACATCAGAACCAGCACTGACAGAGGGGAAGAAGCTGTTATGGCCTACCACAGATTCCCCAGTGCCCCCAATCCAGATGAAGTCCCACAGCCAGATGAGTTCTACTCGCAGCAGCAGCATGACTGGGCGATCATGGACACATGGCACCAAGCCAACAGGCTCCCTCCACTCAAGGACGGGGAGATACTAGAGTTCGACCTCCAGTACCCCGATTCACCCACTATCCCCGGATATCCAGACCTCAGTATCGCCACCGGACATAGTAATGTCACAACGAGAGGAAGCGCGGACCCAGACCCCAGCGACATTTCAGACCGCGACCCCAGGGACACCTCAGGCTCTGACCCCTACGATTCCTGGGTCACTGACAACGAGCGGCATAACCCCGTACCCCTACGAACAGAGCTCGACAGCCATTACGACAGCCCCTACAATGAGTGCCATGGAGAGTTATGCCGCAGGCTTCAAGCCATTGCTGAGGACCGAAGAAGGGACTGGGAAACCCCCGAACCCCTCGTACCATATGTCAGGTGGACCCTCGGAGAATACGGAGAAGAGCCAGAATTGGCCCGATTTTTCTTTGACAACCCAATCCATTCGGAGTGGGACGTACTCTATAGAAGGTTCCAGGAATTCACCCGGGGAATACGCAACATGAATCGGGCCCTTGCCCGAAGGGGCGGTACCCACGTACCAGAGGGACAGGAGTTCCCCATACTACCGTGACCCGAGGACCAGCCCCTCTATTACTGGGCTCGAGATACTGAATCCTGCTGAAGGAATCGGTGGTACCCATGGGAGCACACCCAGTACACCAACTACCGCTACTGGCTCGCGTCATCGGACACCAAGGAGTCCACTCCCTTCCCCAGGGCAACCCCCGAACTCTACAATGACGGAGGAGAGGCCAGTACCTAAAATGGGCTGGTTAGAGCTTCTAGCATGGCAGGGAAGGTCATTAGTGAATGAAGGGTCCTGGTTAATTACAGATGCCACTAAATTTATGTCACAGAACGAATTACCAATGGAAGTACAGCAGGCCGTTTATGATGACGAAGTGCAATACCACGCGACCCAATTATGGAACTGGTTACATAATGACCATGCCCCCGTACTATGACCGTTTAATCAACGAAGCTACCCGCCATACCATTGGGCAAAATGGCCTCCCGAAGTACCTAGCCTTCCCCCAGGAAGCCAATTACTCGGAGGCATGCCTGAAGAAGGACCGGAAGCACCACATGGCGAGGGATGGGCAGACCCACCACCGGAAGTGCCCAAGGACCAGTCCCAACATGCCCGGAAACCTCAACCCAGCCAACCCCTGCCGCCACCACCTCCGCCGCCATCACCCCCCTACGATCCTCATCACGACTACGACCTGTGATCGCTGCCGGAGCTAGTTGACCTGGAACTTCCGCCGGAACCCCCAGGACCCCCTCCGGATAGTCCAGAACCATGGGAGCTGGAGTCGGCCGAACTCCCCTGGGGGGCAGTGTGGCCTAAAATGATGAAGACACCAGCACCGTTTAACGGGGCCTCTAGCGACGTGAAAAGGTTCCTGTCTGGATGTGAGGACTACTTCAACATATTCCCCTGAGAGTTCCCAATGAGTGGAAGAGGACACGCTCCGTCACGAGTAGTGTTCGCCACCTCGCTAATGGAAGGAAAGGTGTTGGAATGGTGGGTCCAGAAGCGACAACGGCTATATAATCCAATCCGCCGCCACACCCGTTACCCCACATGGCCGAGCTTCGACACAGAGGTCAGGGAGAGGTTCCGAGAAGCGGCGGAGATAAAGCTGAAGAAGGTCAAATGGAAGGCACTGCGACAGTCAAACTTTAAAAATGCAATCGAATTCTTCCAGGAATTCAAGATGCTCGCCATCGAAGCAGAGAAGTTCGGAAACGAAGAAGAAATGACGGATACAGTGAAGAAGGCAATTCGCACCAAAACCAAGGATATCATCATGTACGGAGATAACAATCGGCCCTGCAACTACAAGGAGTGGAAATGGAGGGTAAAAAGAATTGACGAAAATTACCACGTCCACGTAGCCGAAGAAGGAGGGAAGCGATCTGCCGGGAAGCAGACTCCCCCCAAGCCCAGCAACCCTGGCACCCTCGACCATAGAAAGGATGCCATGGGTACCACGTACGGAGGCCAGGGACTCCCTATAGAGATAGACCGCCTGAGGAACGACAGGCTGTGCTTCCGATGCGGGGGGCCTAATCACATGGCCCGGGACAACAAGTGCGACCCCGATCAATCAAAGTGGCCGATCAAGTCCAAAAGCAGTCCGAAAGGTGGGCAGGGTGCTCCTGCTAATCCAAAAGCCGGGCAGTACAAACTGTCCAAATCTATGATACGTGCCATGCTCAATGACCCCAACCGACCAGAAGACTTGGCCGCCACTACCCACGTGGAGGAGGTAAAAGACGAGCTGATGAGGAAGTAAGCGATTCAGTCATGTCAGCCAGGACTTTAGTTTCAGATACACATGTACGTCACTCACAGCATTCGAATATACCCCTGTTGCTGTTAAAGACTACAGAGACTAAGCAAGAATCGCATGGTAAGGATGGCATAGAAGGGGATTACCGCCGTCCACAGGACAATGAACCCCTAGGACCCTCGGGCCCGACAGACAGGCTGGGGCCATACCGGTGCAAGGAGGCTCCCGACATCCACGGAACTGGGAGTCCAGGGGAGGCGAGGGATGAAGCCGATGGCAGTACTCGAGGCCCAGCGGACCCAGTGCCGAGCTGTTTTAAAGCAGAAGGGAGACCCCCAGCCTCACTGAAACCAGGTGTACAGGGGATTACCACTGCCCACATTGGCACTGAACCCCAATCCCAAGCCAGCGGGAAATCCGGTAAGCCAACTGATGGAAAGACTGTAGTAGCGTGGAACACGGATGCGGCAGCGAAACAGCATTCACAGTGCATGGCTGCCTCAATCAGGATTGACTCTTGCAACCCTCAAGGCAACAGTGACCAAATGCCGCCCCAGGGCCCCCTTCGGCCCGGCGACCAAATGCCGCCGCAAGCATCGCTCCACCCACTGGTCACAGTAGAAGAGGTACCCGACGAGGAAGATAACTACAGTTACCTACACCCAAAGGAGGCGTACACAGAAGTGGAGAAGACCCGGGCCCTGCCCGTGGAGTACCTGCAACATACGGGAACCAAATGCCTGCAGGCCTATCACCCACACCAAGACCGACCAGAATGGATATGCAGGAGATTAAAGAACGCCCAGACAATAGGAGAGCAAAAGGAGATCCTAAAAAGATGGGTACACCCATCCAAGACCAAGGACGTAGTAGCAGAGGCTGTATGGTGACTAAAGGAGGAAGATGGGGAGAGCAGAGAACGAGTGACACTAGGGCTAGACAAGTTGGAGGAATTACGGGCCCCCCCTCAGTACATACGAGGGGGGAAGGGGCGTCATGTCACCATCCAACTAGCCCTGGAAACCCTGGACACTCGGCATTCCCACCAGGTCAACGCGTTGGTAGACAGCGGGTGCACCGGGAGCACCATTGATTGAACATGGGCACGCAACCATGGACTCCCCACCAAACCTACAGCCTGCCCCACTCCAGTATACAATGCAGACGGTACACGCAACAAAGGCGGAGACATTACGGAGTACGCAGAAGTTCGCCTGATCATAGGCGATCATGAGGAACATATCGAACTGGCAGTGGTCGACCTTGGAACCACCCCCCTATTTCTAGGATACGATTGGCTGCAACGACACAACCCCATAATCGACTGGACTACCGGGGCAGTAACCCTAGCCTGATGTGACTGCAGGCCTGTACCCTTCCGCCTACCTGACGAAGACAGTCTCCGGTGGACCGAGTATGAGGAAGGGGACCGGATCCTGATGGTCAATATGGAACCGGAAGTACACCTCAGAGCGGCTGGAACCCAATCCAACGACCTAGCGGCAAAAGCCAATGAAGGAAAACCCACCTGCACCTTCGAAGAAATCGTACCCAAGGATTACCAGGACTACCAGGATGTCTTCGCCAAGGAAAGCTTTGATGACCTACCGCCCAATAAGCCATGGGACCACGCCATCGAACTTATACCCAATGCCAAGGCAAGCCTGGACTGCAAGGTATACCCACTTAACCCACAGGAACAGAAGGAGTTGGACGCCTTCCTCACTGAAAATCTGGACAGTGGTTGCATTCGCCCCTCTAAATCCCCCATGGCATCCCCATTCTTCTTCGTAAAGAAGAAAGACGGGAAACTAAGGCCTGTCCAGGACTACCGGAAGTTCAACAAGATGACAATTAAAAATCGATACCCTCTACCGCTCATTGGGGAGCTCATGGACCAGCTACAGGGGGCCCGGTATTTCACCAAACTAGATGTATGATGGGGATATAACAATGTGAGAATCCAAGAAGGGGATGAATGGAAAGCAGCGTTCCGCACTAATTGAGGGTTGTACGAACCCCTCGTTATGTTCTTTGGACTCACCAACTCCCCCGCTACGTTCCAATGGATGATGAACGATATCTTCAAGAAGCTAGTCACCGAAGGAAAAGTCACAGTATACCTCGACGACATTCTCATCTTCACCAAGACCCATGCCGAGCACCGCCAAGTGACCCGACGGGTATTGGAACTGCTATGCAAGCATAAGCTGTTCCTAAAAGCGGAGAAATGCGAGTTCGAGGCCTTGGAGGTGGAGTACCTAGGGGTAATCATCAGCGAGGGAAGTGTACGCATGGATCCCATCAAAATCTCGGGCATCATGAAGTGGCCAGAGCCGTCCAAGAAGCAGGAACTCCAATCGTTTCTCGGATTCACCAACTTCTACCGAAGATTTATCAAGCACTACAGCGACAAAGTCTGACCCCTCACGCGTCTAATGGGAAAGGTGCCGTGGGAATGGGGGAAAACGCAGCAAGAAGTGTTCCAAGGGATAAAGCAATGCTTTCTGGAGGGAGTAGTGCTAGGCATGGCCGATATCACCAAACCATTCCGACTAGAAGCCGACTCCAGTGACGGGGCGATAGGAGCGGTACTATCCCAGGAGGACGAAGCAGGAAGGTGGCAGCCCCTCGCCTTTCTCTCGAAAGCGCTTTCCACCACTGAACGCAACTATGAGATATATGACAAGGAGCTACTAGCCATAATGATAGCCCTGTCTGAATGGCGACACTACCTGCTGGGAGCCCAATTGGACTTCGAAATCTGGAGCGATCATCAAAACCTACAGTATTTCCGAAAACCACAAAAGCTCAACCGCTGACAAGCCAGATGGGTCACCGAATTAGCCGAGTACCACTTCAGCCTCCACCACAAGCCAGGAGTGTCAAATAAAAAGGCCAACCTACTCAGTCGAAGGGCAGATCACGAGCAGGGAAAGGAGGACAACCAGGACATAATCGTCCTCACTCCCGCCCACTTTAGAGCTCTAGAGATGCCCTCGGAAGAGGAGATTCAGGGACGAATCCGACGAGCAACGATAGACCCCCGACTTTGGGACCAGGGGGTGGCCACGTCCCTCAATCACGATGAGGGAATAACCAGGGAGGAGGGAATGCTGATCCATGACGGGCGCATCTATGTCCCCCGGGACGCTCTACTATGTGGAGAAGTCCTCGCGAGACACCACGACCACATACTGGCTGGGCACCCCGGGGTGGAAAAGACCAAGGAATTGGTGCTGAGAGACTACTGGTGGCCGAAGATGCAGAAGGACGTAGAAGCATACGTACAGGGGTGTGAGGTCTGCCAACGCACAAAGACCTCCACCAGAGCCAAGAATGCCCCCCTATATCCCAATGAGGCCCCAGACAAACCCTGGGACATCATTACCGTCGACATGATCACCGACCTACCTGAATCCAACGGTCACAACGCGATCCTCAACATCGTAGACCATTGCTCCAAAACACTTATTTCCGTCCCATGTTCAAAGGAGCTATCAGCCACCGGATGGGCAAGGATACTACAAGATGAAGTAATCTGCAAATACGGGTGTATTCCCCTCAAAATCATCTTGGATCGGGGGCCCCAATTCGTCGCAAAGTTCACCAAAGAACTATACCAACTCATGGGGATCCAGGGCAATCCTTCCACTGCCTACCACCCCCAGACGGATGGCCAGACTGAAAGGGCCAACCAGGAATTGGAAAAATACCTGAGGATATTCGTCTCTTACCGACAGGACGACTGGGCCGAGCTACTACCCTTAGCCACTTTCGCTCACAATAATCGACAACACTCGGCCACCGGACTATCCCCATTCAAAGTCAACTTCGGGAGAGACGGCGACCTGTTCCCTAACACTTGCTCCAGCAACAGTAATGTACCCGCCGCCCAAGGCTTTGTCGACCACATCGCTAAAATACACAATGACACCAAAGACGCTCTAAATAAGGCCACCGAGCATATGAAACAAAGCTATGATTGACACTGTCATCCCAGCCTCAAATATCTAATCGGCCAAAAGGTGTGGCTCGACGCCAGAAACCTACATCTGCCCCGACCCAAAAAGAAACTGGACGACAAACGGGTAGGCCCCTTCCAAATTACAGCCAAGCATGGAGCTAGCGCATACGAACTGAACCTACCCCCCGCCTGGCGAATCCACAATTGGTTCAATGAGTCCCTACTCACCCCATTCCACGAGCCTAAATTCCCCAATCAACAACGCCCTCCACCCCTGCCTCCAATACTCATCGATGCGGAGGAAGAGTACGAAATTGAAGAACTACTCCATCACCGAAACCGATGGACGGGCCGGGGACGACATAGGAAGGAGGTCACCGACTTCCTCATCAAATGGAGAGGATATGGACCAGAGGATAATTCCTGGGTCACCAGGGCCAACCTCGCCAATGCGAAAGAACTGGTGCTCGAATACGAAGCACGACTAGGGGCGGACGTCAACAACCTCGATCTGGAATATGCGGGAGACTCAGGGGACGAAACGGATGACAATGACGATGACGAGGACATGGACTCAGTCGGGACGACTGAGTCTTAAGGAGGGGGTAATGTTACGGACTTTCCTTACTTTTCTTTATTTTCCCTACTCAGTACCTTACTGACTCATACACGCTTAGTACTGCGACACACGGACGTCACACTAGAACTTCTATTCGGACTAAACTGCCAGCTCATCGTACCATTATGGACTTATGAATTACTATTATTAGGACTACTGCCTTGTATTTAAACAAGCCAAGCTGTGGCCTTAAAGCCTCAGCTTTGGCTAAGGTCTATATACCTAGTTATCGACTCCATCTCTCTCGCCTAGGCTGTCTAAGTCATCCGCTAAAGGACTACTTGTGCCTGCTCATTGTACACTTGACCAAAGTGCGAGTCACATCACGAGTTTGACCTTGTTTGTTGTACTAGTGGGTTACAGGGATATTCCGTTGTTCCAGAAGGGTTTTGGTGAGCTCCCAGATTTCCTTTTGACCAGGTGACAAGCATGCGGTTAAGATGTGCTCCATGCTTTCTAACTCGCCATAACAGTGCTTGCAGTATGCACATTCATGGTATTTGGGCACAAAGTGAAGCCATTTGGCCCCAACTCTGTATGCCTCATGCATGGCCATCCACAGAAAGTATCTGGTGTTGCGATTGATGTCTCTGTGTTGAAACAATCTCCATAGGGCTGCTTCTGTTGGTCTCTTGCCAAACATGTCCTGTGCTTTTTGCATAGTGTTATTCATGTTGTCCACCATTTTAGGTCACCTTGCAAGTTTTTTCAGGCTTTGCTCTCATAGGGCTTTATAGGCCTGGCTCTGTGACAAGCTGCATAGAGCCACTCCTGTCACTTTGAGTGTTGGGTCTACCTCCAGATTTATGTCATCAACAGTATCCCACCATACTCCTTCATTTGCCAGGTGATTTGCTATCTCATTCCCTACATGTCCATTGTGCCCTTTAACCCATTTCAGTGTCGACTTCTGTTTCCGACTATGAAATCTTGCTACCATTGCCTGGATGATTTGTTTATTGGGTATTCCTATGTATTCTGAATTTTCCATGTTTCGAAGTGACATTGTGAGATGTTTCAGAATGTACTGTGAGTCGGTATCATTGTGGAGAGTAGCTCGTTTACTGACTTGCTCAGCCAGTTCCATCATTGCTATAACTTCCTCTATTTGATTGGATTGGGGGAGTGATGATGGAACTCTGTCAAGCACCAACTTGGATTGGCAAGGTCGAGCCTTAGTTTGTCACTCGCACTTTGGTGAAGTGAAACAAAGGTAGCGATGCAGACCGAGTTAAGTAGTCAGGACTGAATTAGTCGCAGAACTTGGAGTTCAGGTAAAAGTTGGGAGTATATGACTTTAGCCAAAGCTGAGGTTTAACCACAGCACAGGCTACTACTTAAATACAAGTTTGGTGCATTAATAATAACTGTACTACTATGGTTTCATGATAGAGAACGAGTGTGACATGGCCAATAGCAATACACCAGCACAAAAACTACCCAATGGTAAGTGGCCAGCTAGACGAGGAAGACTCTGGGGGAACTGTGCCCTTGTGGCCAAGACTCTGCCTGAGTAAGAATGTCTGAGCTCGTCCACTGTGAACCAGGGATCAAGTGATGCAGAAGTGACTGTTGATTGATTGGAGCAAAGATACCATGATGGAAGTTATTGTGTGATGCAGGAGTATTGGCATGGGTTACGGATGAGCTGGATGGAAGTGATGATGAGAATAAGATGACGATCGAGGAAGAATGACATGAAGCAAATGACTAAAGCAAAAAATAGGGGTGAATTCGTGACATTACCCCCCCACTAAGACTTGGTCATCCTGACTGAGTCAGTGTCAGATTCGCTGTCTGAAGATGGGTAGGAGTCATCTGAGTATGAATCTTCATTCTCAGCATCCATTAAAAGAGCTCCCAGTCACTGCTCATACTCTAGTACAAGTTCTTCAGCATTGGCAAGCTGACTTCATGGTACCCATGTTGCTTCTTCAACTGGGTAGCCTTTCCATTTGACAAGGTATTCAGTGACATGGACTCATCACTTGCCTCGCCTGATGGCGGTTTCCTTGTCTTGTAGTATCTCTTTGATTTTGTATTCTTCTTGTCCTTCGATTAACTCTGGGGGTGGAGGTTCAGGTTGTTGTTGGTTTGGGAATTCGGGTGGTACATATGGAGTGAGGTAGACCTCGTTAAATTGGTTGTGAATTTTCCACCCCGCTGGTAATCGTAGTTCATATGCTGAGGCATCTTTTTTCGTAAGGATTTCAAAGGGACCTACTCATTTGTTGTCCAGTTTTTTGGCTGGTCACAGTAGGTGTAAATTGGTTGCATCCAGCCATACTTTGTTGCCCGGTTGGTAGTCCCTACTAGGTTGTTGGTGACTATTGTATGCTCATTTCATTGTTTCTGCTGTTTTGGTTAGGGCTGCCTCCACCTGCTATTGGGTCTTTTGTAGTCCTTCCATGAAGATAGCTACTGATGGGGTTTCAGTAGTTTGGGATATGACAGGTTGGATTTTTCCATCTTGTTCAAAAATGACTTTGTAAGGAGTATCCCATTGAGCTATGTTCTCGGTTGTTTATGGTGCAAGGCACCTAGTCACCATCTCTAATGTGCAAAGTCAGGCAGCAAACTTGGGGTTGACTGTTTTTTTTTTTGCTCTTGCCAAACACATTCTTTTGATAAGATAAGATGATTGGCAAGAGGAATTTCGATAAAAATATGTGTAGCATGAGATACAGGAGGATACAGAATGTCATCCACATCCAATTTGGCCATGACTGATCAGCAGGCCGTAGCCTCATTAGATGCTCTGTTAAGTAGGCCCCGGGAAGCTCCTAGCAAAGTGTGTCCAGCAAAATGGCCGATTTTAGGCCTAAAATATGCTAACTCGGACAAGATTTCAATGCTCCGGGCAGGCCAAGGACCCCGCTAGACCAAAAATTTGTCTTAACATTGTTTTAGGCATTATTTTGCTTTCTGGATGAATGGGCTTCTCTCTCAATTGGGCAGATGTTGGTGTGAGTATCTCATCTAATTACCAGATGTACTGTAGGCCACATACAATATATTTTTTCACTGAATCTACTGCCAGTTTCAGAAAATCAGCATAAAAGTTTTCAAAAAATTTCTCTCTGGCAATTTGGCCACTACTCATCAGAGACAGTGACTAAGCACCTTGCACCATAGAGTATAGGCTGCTATGGATAGCCATTCGCTCCAGTCATCTTGTTTGAAATTGATGAAGTTATGTAGGTACTTTTCAAGTTCCTGGTTAACTCATTCAGTTTGACCATCCGTTTGTGGATGATAAGTGGTGGAAGGGTTGTCTTAGATGTTCATTAGGGCATATAATTCTCTGGTGAATTTCAATATGAATTGGGGATCCCAATCTGAAATTATTTTGGATAGAGTGACTCCAAATCGACAAATAATTTCATCTCGTAGAATTTTTGCCCATCCTATAGATGCAATCTCCTTTGTGCAGGGAATGAACACATTGTATTTAGAGAATCGGTCGACCACTACCAGGATCATGTTGTAGCCTTTAGAGTCAGGTAGTCCAGTGATTAGGTCGACGGATATGTGTTCCCATGGGCATGAGGGTGTTGCATTGGGATGAAGGGGAGCAGATCATTTTCGGTTGTCTGACTTGGTCCTCTGACAGACTTCGCACCCTTTCACATAGTTGACTATGTCCCGATGCATCCTGGGCCACCAGTAATTTCGAAGTACCAATTCTTGGGTTTTAGCCACTCCAGGATGCCCAGCAGTGACATGATCATAGGCATGTGATATGAGTTCTCCTCATAATGAGGGCTCTCTAGGGACATAGATCCTCCCATCATAGTACAACAGTTTTCCTTTCTGTTGGACTCTTTTTTCATGGTTAAGGGAATTAGAGATCCCTTTATCCCATAGTTGAGGATTGCCTATACTTTTGGCAATTTTCCCATGGACTTCCTCCTCTGTAGGCATTATCAAGGCTCAGAAGAATTCAGGTTTTAGGATAACGATATTGTCGTTGTCCTTTTTGCCCTGATCATGGTCCGCCCTTCAACTCAGTAAGTCGGCCTTTTTATTGGCTGCCCCTGGCTTGTGATGGAGAGTAAAGTCATATTCTGCAAGCTCAGTGACCCATCGGGCTTGCTGTCCATTTAACTTTTGTGGTTTTTGGAAGTATTGGAGGTTGGAATGATTAGTCCAAATTTTAAACTTCTGTTCAGCACCCATAAGATAGTGGCACCATTCTTCTAACGAGATCATTATGGCTAATAGCTCTTTATCATAGATCTCGTAATTGCATTTCATGGTGGAGAGTGCCTTGGATAGGAATGCAACAGGCCTCCATTTTCCATCTTCTTGCTCCTGTGATAATACCGCACCAATTGCCCCTTCATTAGAGTCAGCTTCTACATGGAATTTTCTGTGGTCATTGGGGATGATAAGTATTATGCCTTCGTGGAATTGTCATTTGATGGTCTCAAAGGCGTCTTGTTGAGCTTTTCCCCAGGTCCATGTTTCTTTACCAGTAAGACGAGTTAGGGGTTTGATATGATGGCTATAATGCTAAATGAATCGTCGGGAATGAGATATGAGCAGATCATTCTGTAAAACAGGAGGAGCACATCCCATATTTTGATGTTCTGCTCATTCTATGGCCTGGGGATCATGGATTCGGATTCCTTGACCCAAAAAACAGTAGAGGCACTTATCATCCATAGGAGCCATTTTACCCAGATAACACATACAGCCATATGTAGCTACAGGACAATATAAGTGACAAATGAGAGAACATCTTGTACTTCGGAGTTTGAACATCTGAATACCATGGATGATAGGTGGCCCTACTGTTTTTTGGGTCAAGGAATCCGAATCCATGATCCCCAGGCCATAGAATGAGCAGAACATCGAAATATGGGATGTGCTCCTCCTGTTTTACAGAATGATCTGCTCATATCTCATTCAATACATTTCGGATATCCATGGGGCTTCGTACACACCATTGTACAATATATATAGTCTGTTATATAACAAGAATACCCTCCCTAACTATTAGAAATGCGAAATATAAGGTATGTCTCCTCCATCCCCCTATTACTCTTTTTATCACGTATTTCTGATGGTTTCCTTTGTCCTGTGGGGTCATTTGAGTGTTATTTAGGTCAATAAACACAATAGACAAAACTCCGAAGTGGTCCGAAGCCAAGAAATAGGATTTATTACATGTGCTCCTCCTAAACTGTAATATCATTATTTCTGTCGTTTTTGAGACCCTATAAATGAATGCTGGAGTCGTTTTGGGGTTTTTAATATCAGGGAATCCATTGGTGATGCTCTCCAGGCCATCCGAAGTGCGAAAAACAAAATAAGCGATGTATGCCCCCTAATACCCCCTTTTATACTGTATTATACTGGACCTATATTACGAAGGAGGATGTATTCTAGGGTTTTTATAGCATAGGAATCAACTGGTAATGTTTTCAAAGCGATCTGGAGCATGCTGCACCCTAAAAAGCGAATATTTTCGTTTATCTCCAGGAATAAAGTGTGCCAAAAGTACTGTGGAGGGGTCGTTTGGGTGTTTTCAAGGTCAGGGAATCGATTGGTGAAGTCCTCCAGCCGATCCAATGCATGCAGCAGCCCCCAAAAGCGAATATTTATGCGATTTTCATTATATTACCCTTTTATCCCACTATCCAGGGCTCCTATGTATCATTAGAGGGCTCTATTTTATGTTGTTTATGTCTATACAGATTATAGTGCCATCCCCTGGCCCAGCCAGTAGCCTGAGAATAGCCCAATAGCTGTTTTGACCGGAAAATAGCCCCTATTTTGGGTATTGAAAATGCGGCACTGCCACTGGATCCAGCCAAAATTGATGGGCTGATTTGGGGAGCCTAAAAAGGCAAAAGAGCGCACCAGAGCGGAGCAAAGGGAGGTCATCAATATGAGGTCATAAATGTTAAGGGAGGGAGGGTATATATAGAGATGAAAAGATATTTATATAATGCCAGTATGGTGTAGTGGTTAGCATGTCTGCTCGAGAAAGTCATGTGATATTGTTGGATTTATTTTTGAGGTCCCAGGTTCAATTCCCGGAATTGCCCTCTTTTCTAATGATGCCATCATTGACACAGATTG